TGCAGGGCTTTTACTGTGAGGTTGATTTACAACCTGAGAGGGATGGATTCTCTTCAGAGTTCTCTCTCTCTCTCTGCGCGCACACACGTGTGTAAGAGACTGAGTGAGTGAAAAATAATGCACGGTGCCGACCGTATTTATGTGAATACACACCAGTGCAGGCATTTTGACACTCCGTGTTTTTACCGTTTTAGGCGCGCCACCGAAGACAAATCTACTATGCTTGTCCGTGTTCCACTCGGACCTCGCGCGCAGAAAACATCCAGTCAGAAGCGGATTGAGTTCTGTTTCACGGCTTTGAGTTTTTAATACTGTCTGTCTTTTTAATATCAAGAATGTCCCGCTCTTTTTTGTCTCATTCATTCACGTTCCTTTATTAATAATGTTAACAGTCCCACCCGCTGAGAGCTGCGTGGAAAAAGCGAAAGTAACCGGTGAAATGTTTCAAAGTATAAAACATATAAAACAAAGTATGTTTCAGTCCGGTCACTTTTTTACATACTTTTACACTTTTTCTGCTGTTCAAAAAATCTTTCTTTTCGCTATTACCACAAAGCTACGAATCTGAGTGCAGGAGCTCTACGTTACCATAGAAATGTCAATAGTTTGCTCGTGACTCTCGCAAACAGCTCTGACCGCGCACTGAACACGCACTTTGGCTGGTACAGAAAATGTATTATTATTTTACATGTATATGTAGAGCTTATGTAGGCTCTACAACAAAGGAATTGCTGATCTCTAGTGATGTCTAATTTGTGTAATAGATCATTTGTTAGTAAAGGGTGAGAGATCTGGCCTCTGGTCTAGCCTGTTAGAGTTGACGAAGGAGGGGGAGGAGGAGGACAAAGGAGGGAGGAAAATGTTTTAAAGAGCATGTGAGAGTTAGGCGAATTGTTAATTTTGTTGTGATAGTATGTCCTTTTAGCAGTGGAGACATTAGCAGAGAATGAAGAGAGGAGTGATCGATATACATTAAGGTCAGTAGGATTTTGTGATTTGCGCCATACTCTTTCGCGAGCTCTGAGCTTAGAGAGATGCTCACGGAGAACATCAGATAGCCAAGGGGCAGAAGAGGTGGTACGAGCTGGCCTGGAAGACAAGGGGCAGACAGTGTCTAAACAAGACGTAAGAATGGAGCAGAAAGTATCAGTAGCACGGTTAACATCAAGACATGATAACTGTTTAGGGGAAGGAAGCAAAGAAGAAACCATAGCAGATAGCCGGGAGGATGAGAGTGAGCGTAGGTTACATTGAAAAGTGACACGTGGAGGGGTATGTGTTGTGTCAGGAACCATGTTGAGGTTAAGAGCGAGGAGGAAGTGATCCGAGGTGGTGCAGTGGATTAACCAGTACATGATCAGTGGAGCAGTGTCATGTGTAAATAAGGTCCAGTTGGTTGCAGCTGTTGATACTCAGAGATGGTAAAGGATTAAATTTCCAATCATTAGAGATAAGCAGACCAGTACCTCCACCTCTTCCAGTCAGACGGGGGGAGTGGGAAAAAGAGAAATTATTGGAGAGTGCTGCAGGTGTAGCATTGTCCTCCGGTTTGATTCACATCTCTATCAGGGCCATGAGGTTTAGTCTTGAATGACTTGTAATAGAAGTAATAAAATCAGTTTGCTTACAGCAGATTGGCAATTCCAGAGACCAATAGAAAAAGAAAGTAGTGTATTAGTAGACATAGGCAAAGTGCGCAGGTTGTTAGGATTGCGCTGCCTACAGTGTGTGATGCATGGTTTGCGAGTGGTAGTGATAGTAGGGATCTGGAAACACATAGTAAGAACTGGTTATTAAAAACTGGAAACAGAAGGGGAACAAGTAGTAAGAAAGAGAATGATTCAGAAGTGATACTTATGTGCCTTGCCGGTACCAAACACGATTTCAGCATGTCTCCACACAGTAAACAAAACAAGCATTTCCTAGCAATGACAACTGCACTAAACACAGAGACAAGAAATAAATACACTTACGAGCTGCTTTTAACTTCTGCTGATTGACTGCTTCTCTCAAAGAGTATTTCTTTACACTGTGTTTTGCTGGCGCTTGATAACAGAGCATAGTCCAAAAAAATAATTAACGACGAACAGGGACCCTCATGGATTAATTTGGTTTTTAAAGGTTGATTGAGGCCTTCACAATAGAATTCCATTAGAACACAGTTAGGAAGATCTGAATAGTGAGCGATGGCTAAATACTCTCAAATTTAGCCTTCCAGCGATCACATGCCTTGTTTGAGGACTAATTATATTTTTGCTGTGTCCATACCTGGCTAATGTTCATCTGAAAAGCTGCTGGATCCTAGACTGGACTATTGTAATGCACTGCTAGGTGGTTGTCCTGCATCTTCAATAAACAAGCTACAGGTGGTCCAAAATGCAGTGGCTAGAGTCCTTACCAGGTCAAGAAAATATGATCATATTACCCCAATTTTACACTCTATGCACTGGCTACCTATTAAGTTCCGTATCAGTTACAAAATAATATTACTTACCTACAAGGCCCTTAACCCTCTAGGGTCAAAGGGTGTTTTGGGGCCCTGGAGAAGTTTTGGCATGACCTGATATTTGTGTTTTTTTCAGTATCTTAAAAAAAATATTAATGGCTAAAATCTGATAACACTGTATTCAGCACAAACTTGGCTACAAAAAAATGTGAGCAGCATGAAAGTACATGTTTGTGTTTTTGAGAAAACAATGTTTATGTGTGGTTAGTGAAAAACTAAATTTTTAAGTCACTGAAATAAGGCCATAAAACATATACAGAATATTTCTTCACAAGAACTTTGAGAACTGGATGTGGTAGACTAGAGATTTTGCTACAAAATGATGTGAAAATTATCATGTTCACATGTTCACAGAAAACAATATATTGATTTAACATTTGTAAAATATGTTTTGTGATACAATGCCCTCATGCGAGGGAGTGACAATGGCCATGAATATTTAGTGATTCACATCTGAGAGACAAAGGGCCTTCCATTATGGGCCATCAAT